AAGTTTTGAATATTATTCCACAAGATTAAAAAACCCAAACTTTTTCTTGAGTGCAATGGAACTTCTGGTTTGATGTTTTTAAGAGGCTCCCAATGAATTACAAATAAAACCCACCCACACCTCAGAACAATTCTTATGAAGTTTTCAAACACTTCAGTTCTAGAAGCTTTACACCCTCATTTTTACGAGACAGCTATAAATCAGAAAAATGCCTCAGACATTAAGATGTAGAGAGGACTAAAGAATCATATTCAAAGCACACAAGAAATACTCAATGCTCTTGTCACACACTGTGTTGTGCAATTTTAACATTACAACTCAAAGTTTAAAATCAGTTTAAGACCCTGGGCAAGCACATATCATAAGGCCTTCATCCTAAATAATACTCATCTCCTAACTCTGCATTAGGAGGCACAGTTTGCAATGAAATAATGGGGTTTTATTGCAATATCTGATACAACTGAAAACCAAACATGCTAATGTGGCCAATGCCCCTTCACAAAATCTGACAAGTCAGCAAAACACTAGCTAAGCATCAGCTACATTTACATAATCACAAACAATAAGGTCATGTACAAAAGTAACTTCTCCCTGAGAAGTTATTTACATGACCAGAACACAGCTCTTCAGTCCTAACTTACGCAGACATTTTGGTTTAGACAGCAAGACTGACAAGAAAACTGCAGTTTTGGTCACTGGGTTCTGCATGTTCACACGCACTTTTCTCAGTGAGCACAGCAGAGAGCGGAACGCCCAAGAAAAAATTATCCTACTTAATCCCTACCTGGATGTTTTTACAGCTAGCTTTGTTGTAACTGCTAGTCAGAAAGAGTCAGCCTATTTGTCACAAAATCAGATCTACCTCCAACAGTTATATGCAAGGCTTAATTCACGTTAAAGGTAGACTCACTTTAAGTCAGCTTCAACACAAGTTTGACAGGAGGAAGAAACCGTAGAGATACGGTTTACAGAGGAAAAATTAGTTCCTACAAAAGCCTGCATCAAAACCTTATCTAAGAGAAGTTCAGACTACAAATTTGATCTGTGTACATTCCAATAACATACAAGATTGGAATGTATGATTCTAATCACTTACAGGTTCAAGAAAACAAAATACAAATATAAAAGTTGCACTACTCAGATCTCAGTTAATGGTTCAGGCTTATTTGTTCAAGATCTGCTGAAAGAATAAATCCAAAATACCTTATTTATTTCAGTAGATCACAGTGCAATTGTGGAGTTTGAAATAGCCAATTTATTTTGAAAAATAGCGCAAGAAAAAAGGTACAACTTAATTCACATCCCACAAAAAGTATTATTAAAAGATATAAGTTGTTCAAAAAAGCAATCTAGGTTAGAACCACAAAAGTTAGTATCTTGAGAAGCCAAAGCTTAAAAAAAAAAATCAGGTCACATTCGATGGTGCAAACAATTACAGGAAATACAGCCTATTCCACATTCAGGAAGAGCCCTCTCTTCCCACAGGTTTGCACTAGTCTGATAAAAACAATCCAGCTTCCTAGTTATTATGATGTGCACTTTAAACATCCTTGTTAATCCACAAAAGCCTTATTTACACATAAGAAGTTGAAAGCACACATATGCAAAAATATTTATATCCTAAACAAAACTATGACTTTCATATTTTATTATAAAGTAGGGTTGTTTAGTTTTTTTTTTTAAAGTTTCTTCCATATACCTCTCAGATTTAAGCTGATCTTGAAAACTAAACGCCGTAAGGCAGAAGCACTACAATTTTCAATGACCAAACACTAAGATACAGTTCAGAAAGGAAAATGTGTTTGGGTAGTACAGACAGACCAGAAACAGAATAAAGAAGTACATATACATTCTGAAACCTAGCTAGATCAGATGTACTGTTCATCTAGACCAACAGGTCCATTTCTGTCTCTTGGTGTATACAGTAAGTAATCACAACACAAGCCCACCTGAGTTTTGTTTAAATACTGGCATGTAAAAATAAAAAAGGCCTAGCATTCCAGCAGGGAAAGCAATCCCACATTTTGTTTGAATTCTCAGGGTTGTGACTTTATTTCTTTAGTTCAATCATCACAAAATGAAAGACAAAGACTGACTGTAATTAGTCTTCTCAAGCATAAACAAAATCTTCAGGAAGATGGTTGTACAGTTACTGAAAAAAAAAACCCAAACACATACCTAAAGCACAGAATAAACTAGAAACAGCAAACCAAATTATAAGGGGAGGGGGAGGGAGCAAAGACTACATAGGAACACTATTTTTAGATCATATAAATCTAAATATACACACACATGCCCCTAATATTTGGTATTGTCAAAGGTGCCATAAAACAACTGATGAAACTATTAAATACTATACTTTAAAGCATTCCAAATCCTGCAGACTTCTCTAGCAAACCTACAGGTTGCTATTGCTGAACCCCTCAGAGGATGTCAGCATAGCATATAGTTCAAGGTATTTAACACGATGCCCCTTTAATAACCAGGATAGTGTTTTAGAGAACAACAGTTGTTCCAATTTCTCAAGTGTTCATTGCTATTGATTATTCCAGCCCTGTAATACTGCTGGTAAGCATACAGTATATGTAAGTCCATGCAAATACAAATACTTGCACAAATCACAAGTATTTTGTCATTCTTTGGTATCTTCTATTAAATCTGTTAATTTCACTACTTAAACCAGTAATGGTGTTCGGAGGCCCGCCTCACGCCTCAGAAAAAGAAATAACTGGCGCCCCTTAGTGTTCAAATTCTGAAGTCTTGAAGCAATTTACCAGATCTGCATGAAACATTTTTTTCAACATTCCAAAAAGTTTTCTGCCTCCACAATACTTCCACCCAATTGCCAACGTAAACAGGAAAAGCAGAAAAGCTTAAAGGGATAGCAGACTTCTTCCTGAGACTATTAGCAACACAGAATGTATTTTATCTTTGTTTTAAAGTGCACAAAGAATAGCTCCAACACAATCCTTAAACTTTTTCAGCAAGTCTCAACAGCTTCCATTTTGGAACTTCAATACTTCACAAAACGTACTTCCAGAGCTTTCAGTATTTAAAAATATACCAAATGCTGTGGGGATTTCAGACGTTCTTTTTTCAGTGTCTTTTTCATATGGGGAAGATATTTTTTCTTTCTTTTGTTCTCCAACATACACACACACACACAAAAAAAAAGTTTCAGGCCTCCTCTGGCCAAATACAGTAAGTTGAAGAGATTCAGGAATCTAAAAATCCAACATTAAGCCTCTGGAAGGCTCATAACATGTTAAAAGGAGTCTTCTCAGTCAAGTTTCTTCTTGATATTTATTGTAAATCTAACTATCCTGAAGAGGGTGTTTGCTGTGGTGACCGAGAACATTAGTGTTACTTTTCACATCCGTATTTGCTCCAATACGATTTCAAATTTCACCACAAGTCTTGATTATAAAAATAGAATCTCCCATTATGTCTCTTCCCACAGTCCATCTTTCAGTATTCTTCACTGGGCTTTTTTTACTCTTCTATCATGTATTTCTGAAGGCAGCATTTTCTTGATACACTATTTTCTGTTGTACTACAGTCACTATCTCACTTTTACAGTGTTGGGAGAGGGTGGGGAGTTGTTCTACCAAATAAAACCAGCTCTTTCATCTTCTGAGGTCAACAACTTCCCAAACTTCTTTTAGCGAGAAAGAATACGTCCAAACAAGAATCCTAACGTGAAATCTCAGAATTCAGTATTTCATGCTAAGATTCCAAACAAGTTGAAGCTACGTAAATAATTTACAGCTTTACCATATTCTACAACGCTACCAATACGATTAAACAAACAAGTGCCTCTAACTTTCCTTAAGGTGGTAAGAAATGAAATGCTTTTAAAAACAAACCTGTGAACCCAAGCATAAAGCAGATTTTAAATTACTGAGAATAAGTGTATCGCTTGATTTTTAACACAGATTTTTAACTCCAGTACTGTAATGAGAAGACATATGGGACAAAGTTCCCAGCATATACTTTCTTTTTTTTTTTCTAAACTGCAATTATTTACTTGTAAAACTACAACTTACTGGGAGCTCTTTAGGGGAAAAAAAAAGGGTTGGGGGTGGTGTCAGCCCGCCGGAACGGCCCCTCGCCGGTAGCGGGGCTGGGGGGGGCGGCGGACGTTTGGCAGGAGCAGACGAGTCAATTTCGTAATTTTTGTTTTTTTTTTTCCCTTCACTAAAGTCACACGTAGGAGTCTTTCAAGTTAGTTTCTTTAAAAGGTAAGGATAGCTGAAAGACGGATTTGTTCGCTTCCCTTGCAATATAGGGAAATTATAATTAGTTTGTGGCCACTTTGGGGTGGGGTAAAGCTGGAGTTGAAGAAAGAGCTCAGCCCCCTCCGTCTTAGTCATTCAAGTTCAAGCAGCTTCCAGAACAGCCAAATCTCGAAACCAAACACTCTCCCGCGCCCCCCCCCCTTCCCCCCGCCCGGGCCGCGGGCCGCTCCCCGAGGGGCTCCGCGCAGGACCCCTCTACCCGCCAGCCAGCCTTTCCCCTCCTCCCTGCCTTCCCCCAGAGCGCATTCCTGAGCTCCTCTCCTCGCTCCCTCCCCTCCGCTCCGTAGTTACCCTTCCCCCGGTTTTAGGAAAGGGTGCGGAGAAGGGGAGAAAACAAAAAAGGGGGAGCACCCTCCCCACACCCCGGGATCGTGGGGAGCCGTGCGGCCAGGGCTGCCTCTTCCCTTCCAACCCGTTCAGCGAGTCCCCCGGCACCACACGGCAGCAGCCAGGGCGGGGAGAACCCACACTTCCCCTTTGTTTTAAGCTCCCCAACCCGGGGGGCGGGGGGAGAGCGGGGTGCGAGGCCAGAGCGTGCGGAGAGCAGCGGGGAGAGCGAAACAGGCCCCGGGCTCCCCCCAGCCGCCCGGCTGGGGCCGGGTGCCGAGCGGGATCCCGGGAGCGGCGCGGAGGCCCGGGGCGGGGGGGAGGCAGGGCCGGGCGGCGGAGCGGGGGAGGGGACGGCCAGGCGAGCGCTTTTACCTTCGTCCAGCAGCCTCTCGAGGTGGTTGAAGATCCCGCAGAAGTTGGGGAGGCTGCTCATCAGCTTCTTGTCGTTCATCAGCTGCATCAGGTAATCGGGGCTCGGCTTCGGCTTCTCCTTGGTTTCCATTTCCCCAACCATATTCCAAGCCCGCGCAGAGACGGCGAGCGCCCGCAGCAGCTCCGCCGAGCAACGCGACCGCGGCACGGGGCGCCCGGCTGGATCCGGGCGGGCGGGGAGGCGGTGGGGGAGGGGAGGGGGCGGGGAGGGGAGCTTCCCCGAGGAAGGAGGAGGAGGAGGAGGATTCAAATCCGGAGACAAACGCAGCCCCGACGCCGAGTCCGAGGGAATGAAAAAAAAAGAGGAAACTCGATAGAAAAGCCCGTGCGGGCTGCGCCCTCCTCGCCGGGGCACAAGGACCCGCCGCCGCCTCTCGGTGCTGCCGCCGCTGCTTCCCTGCTCCGTGCGCCCTCGGCCGGCGCAGTCCTCGGTGTGTCCCCCCTCCGCCTCCTCCCGCGCACACACACGCCGAGCCCGGCTTCTCCTCTCCGCGCTGCCCCCTGTCTCCGCGGCGGGTGAGGGAAGGGACGAGTGGGGCGGGCGGGCGCTGCTGCCGCTTCCAAGGAGCCGCCGCCGGTATCTCTCCGCTGTTGCCGCCGCCGCCGCTGTTGTTGCCGCCGCGCTGCGCCTGGCGTGTCCTCCGCTCCGCCTCGCGCCCGCCCGCCCTCCCGCCGCCGCCTGTGGCTGGTGAGTCTCAGCCCTGCCGCCGCCTCCTCACTTCTCCTCAGTTCGCTTCGGAGTTCGCTTCAGTTCAGGCTGCGCTGCCAGCAGCAGCAGCGGCGGCGGCGGCAGGAGGGGCGGGGACGTGGCGGGGGCGGGCCCGGGGCGGGGCAAACGTTACTCGGTGGCGGCGGCAGCGCCGCTTGGCGGAGCCAATGGTCACTCCCTCTCCGCTCCGGGGGCCTGGGTCGGCAACGCGGCGGGGGGGGGGACACACCGTAAGGCCCAAAGGGCCTTTATCTCTTCTCTCCCACCTTCCTTCGCGGTCGTCCGCCCCCCCCCACCCCCTACTCCCCGCCGACCACTCCCCGTTCCGAGCGTCTGCGCGCGGACAGGCGGCGCAGCCGCGCAGCGTCGTGTGCGGCTCCCGCGCGCCTCCACCCACCGCCGCCGCCGCCGCGCAGACGCACGGCGCACACACAGAACTCTTCTAAACAAAGTCGTGCTGCTTCACCTACTCCAAGCCAGAGGCGGGGGGGGGAGGGGGGCGGTTGTGCCGGGTCACGTGATCTTCCCCAAGGGGGCGGGGACAGCCTCACCGAGGCGGGAGGACGCGCGCGCCTGTGTGCCTCCTGTTTACAACGGGGCCGCGGTGTCGCGCGGCAGGGTGGGTTTGGTGGTGCTGGCGGAGATGCGCATGCGCTTGCGGGCGGGGTGGTGCCAGGAGCGGTTCGTAGTCAGTAGCGGGGCTGCGGGATTGGGGGATTTGGGTAGGTTTCGGCGGGAGGGTGAGGGGAAGCGGAGGTGACAGACTATTCGTTTCTCCGCTGTCTTGTCGGGCCGAGCCCGTGTGCTGCGGGAGCGGCTTAATGACAGGCTTTGATACAGAGAGGCATAGAGTGGGCTGGGGGTTGGCCGCCGCCGGGGGTGGAGGATTACCGCAGGCGGTGGTGGCTGCTCAGCTGTACGCCCGACCCCGGAGCAACGACGGTGGTTCCCAGTGCCCCAGTCGGGCAGCCAGTGTCAGATCCGGGTGCCGGTCGCGGCGCTGCCGTCCTGCCCGAGCCTCGTCAGCAGGAAATTAGGCGCTCTCTTTGTTTACAGGGCAGCGTCGTGTTTGGGGGTTGTTTGACGGGTTTGGATGGGAGACGTGATGGGAGCAGCAGCATCCGGCAACCAGAACCAAAATTAACGCGCTCCATCCACTGTAGTCGCGGAAGCAAAGCAGCGCGACGCGGTTGCTTGTACGTATTTCTCCTTCCCCGTGCAGCTACTCGGTGTTCTCACTTTATTACTTAGGAGGTTGTCAGAAAGCTTCGATTGAGATTTTCATTAGCTTGGTAGAGTTTGTGTTGTAAAGCTAGGTAAAAATAACTTCATTGTTTGGTTTAATTCGTTGGAAACTGCTATTTTTAATGGGACTAAGTATGAAGTTTAGCTATTGTCTGATCTGCAAAAAAAAAAAATAAAATGTTTCCGTACATACTACACGGTATTTGGAGAAACTTTATGTATTAGATAAATCGCAATGAGCAATGCTTCCAAAACTAAAAAGGTGCAGATGTGTCATGTTGACAGGTGTACAGTTTCATTGGTATTGTCAATCCGTATTACTCTGTGGCTCTTGAAAGATGTGCATTGACAAAACATAAAGAACATGTAGTTGTCATAATAGTAAAAATACCCTGGCCAATTGCATTCCTTTTAGTGTTTTATTCCCTTTTAAACATGCAAACTCATTATTTGGATATGAGAGTTTCAGCCGCATTTCAGGGAGTTGTCAACATTAGACATAAAAGGCTTATGTAAGATGAGTCTGATTTATTGCTTCTGTCTTTTTAGCAAAGAAAGAGTAGCAGTGTTGCAAACCATTTTTTATAATACAGATTTTTAGTCCATTAATACCATGACCAAAGCACACTGCAGCATGGCTATGGGTGATGAAACAGTACAGTTATATTTATTAACAAGATTGTGTTTGTTCTTTTACAACCTTGTTTCAAAATGCTAAAACACAACCTTACATGCTTAACAAAGTGCCATAATTTTATTTAGCATAGATCAGTCTGAAAGGTGATGCAGTTTTGGAGCCCTTTGTTTGCTTATTTTTAACGAGTGACTGAAGGCTCTTTTTTAACCCTGAGAAAACTTGCTATCAAAACCTTCAATTTGATTAAGGGCGTCTTTGAGAGTAGGCTTTCGTCTTAAGATTAGATGAATGTAGATAATTTTAGAATAATTGTTGTGGACTGCTGATTTGCACAGTAAAAATAGCATACTGAGACTTTTTTTTCAGCAGCTTTGGTGCAGCTGCTCCCATACCTCCTCATTATTGCTTTCTGCACATATAGTGCTTCCAGTGTTTGCACTTGTCTTACCTACTAATAGGAACAATATATCTTATCCTAAGCTATTTTGTACTCCTTTACCAGAGGATAAGCTGGTGCACACAAGCAGTTATTGAGGAATTACTCTGACTCCTCTGTGTTAATCTGAATTATTTTCTCGGTCTGAACAGAAATTGAGGCAATGCTATGTGCTGAAGCTGCCCACAGAACTGGGCATAAATGACTTACTTAAGGAAAATCCTCATTCTTGATTTTTCCATAAATACCTCAAGACTTTGAATTTAAGTAATGGGGAAAAAATATTGGAAAAGCCAAATGCTTTACCAAAATGTAGGTAACACACCATTGTTTTATATAAGTAAGCCAGTGTGACATCTTTTGTCATCAATTATAGAGTAAAAACAAAAACACAACCTAAAAGCCCCTGTCAGCATATCTTCCATTCTTCTCTCTGCCTCTAACTTCCCACACTGTAACATCCCAGGAAAGGGTGTTTTAAGAGTGTGTGGGAGATGAATGTTGAATTCTGTTTAAAGAGCTGTGAGAAGGTATAGCTTCCGTCAGGAGCGGTGTGTTTACAGCCTGATCTACAGAGGCACTAGAAATACTCTTGTAGTATACAGAACTTTCCCATGGGGGAAGGAAAAGGGCGGGGGGGGGGGGAACATGGAACTGGGTGAACATATCCTGTGGGTAACGGGAAGAGGTTCTGTGGTATTGATGTTAAAGATGGGAGGGAGGATGGTTGATTTGTTTCAGGGTAACTTACTGGTGATGTAAGGGTCTTTAGTAACTACCTAGCACCTTCTGTCTGGATGCAAGCAGAAGTCCCTCTTATGTTTCCGTCTAGGTAGCCCTTCTTGTATCATGTAACCTGTAGTATTCTCCAGCGGCTCCTCTTTTAAGATGAAGTTTTATTGCATTAATGTAATCTTGAAGTAAGAAAAATTATGATAATGACAGCAGCAGCCTCTGTATATTACAGTAAAAGCCTGCAATGATCATAAAAAGCAAATTCAATTACTGCTATAATGTTCATAGCTGATAGCACCTTGGGAAATAGGAGAGCTTAAGGCTGATGACTACTGGGAAGCATACTCTTAAGTATTGTCTGTTATTTCCAGCATCTCTGTTGACCACATCATGGGTGTATACAGTAGGGTGTTATCAGCCTTCAGCAATGCTTCCTCTAACAGGAAGATACCAATGTGCTATACTACTACTCTTTAGTGAAAGAAGCAATTCTTCCTTACGCATTACAGTCTCTCAAGAAAAAAAAAACAACTGTGTTTGTGATTCAGTATTGAGTCATTTATGATGTACAAGATTGTAGCTGCTCTAAGAGTAATGCAGCAGTCAGACGTGGCCACTACCAGGTGAACATCCGAAATTCATTCATCTCTGCAAGGCGATTAACACTTGAACAAAGTGAGGTCTAGAGCTAGACTGAAAAAGCTGAAGAACCAATTGCATTGAAGTTCTGTGATGTGTCTGACAAGACAAACATACTTTCTTTGACATTAAGCCAAGCCGACAGGTAACTTTTCAAACAGAAGCCACAGTAGTGCATCATTCGATGCAATATGCAGACAGCAGTGCCTGCTTAGTCTAAAAAGGGAGATTTGAGTGCTGTGTATAATCTTGGAAGAGACAAGGCTTAAATTTCTCCTCTACTGATGCTAAGTAATTGCTGCAGAAGTGGAAGATACGGGTTTTAACACACCTTAGTCTGGAAGGATTCAGATTTGTATCTTTTATACTTAACATACTTCAAGCTGTACAATAACTGTGAAGAAGGGTGTAGTAACCCACAGTATCAGTCCTGTTAAAACTCATTCCTCAGGTTGGAATAAGTACATACTTTGGTACCTTTGTTTTTTTCCAACCCTAACTATTCGATGATTCTATGGTAAGGTATGTACTCCATATACCTGAAGCTACTACGATAAGCTACTCCTAGACAGATAGGATGGAGGGTCCTAAATTCTGCTTAATAAAATGTGACTAATTTTGTTTGACTCTGTAATAAGGGAAAGCATCAGCATCTCTGTTGGGCTTCACATTATCTAACTACCAATTCACCACAGATATGCACAGTAAAGATATGAATCAATATATAGTCGAAAGTTTTACATCAGTGTTCAAGATTGACGTAGGTAGTATTTTTAAGTGGGCAGTTTCCATGGGTGTGTAATCTCTGTACATGCTGTTTCTTTATGTACTACTATGTAGACTTCTCTCCAGCAAAGACAAGCATCTGAGCAACAAGAAAAGGTGTGTGTTTAGAGAGGGTGCTAGTTCTGCTAAACTCCCAAGAAATCTCTCTGGATTAAAAACAAAGTTTAGATTGGTTTAATTTAACATTCTTCAGTAGGAGATGAAAATGAAATCTCATGTTTGCCAGTTTAACTATGATATTGCTAAGAAAAGCAGAAAGTGGTGAGAAGGAGGGGAGGGAAAGAAAAGCAATCCAAGAAAGCGTAGAAAAGAAAAAAAAAATGCCAGCAATTAGAGAGAAAACTAAATTGAGGTACTACATTGAAAACATAACATTTACCAACTTTATCATCTCATTCATAGGAACACAAATTTAAAACCTGGGGGGAAAAAATAACCTAATCATTCACAGAACATATCTGAGTCCTGTATTTTGAAGGTATATTTTACCTCTAAGCTTATGAACTTCTCTGTATCTTGTAATTTA